TAACAAAGGGCATCGCTTCTAGGAGCAAGGACGCTACTAGGGGCTCCTGGCCTTGCTACTAGGAGCAAGGACGCTACTACGGGCTCCTGGCCTTTCTACTAGGAGCAAGGACGCTACTAATAACAAAGGGCATCGCTTCTTGGAGCAAGGACGCTACTACAGGCTCCTGGCCTTGCTACTAGGAGGAGGGACGCTAGTAACAAAGGGCATCGCTTAGGAGCACGGACGCTACTAGGGGCTCCTGGCCTTGCTACTAGGAGCAAGGACGCTAGTAGGGGCTCCTGGCCTTGCTACTAGGAGCAAGGACACTACTAGTAACGAAGGGCATCGCTTCTAGGAGCAAGGAAGATTTTGGTATGATTCAACAGTTCTATGACACGGAGGATGTTCTTAGAACGAGATCAAATGTTTGCCTTCAAACATCACACCTGCTCCTCTGCTCTTCCGCATGGAGTCCAGATTGAAATTGACGCTGATGTCGTTGTTGACCCCATCGCCAAACACATCACTAACGAAACTACCTAGTTTGAGCCAAACACTGAGGCAAGTGTCACCAAGATAAGAAACGAGGGAAAGGTGAGGGAGGTTTCCCTAAAAATCTAGAACCAGATCATTAGAAGCGTGAGCTATCCAGCGTATACTAGTAGCTTAAGCAAGGCACTAGCTACCTAGCTACTAGCTACCTACCTCTAGCTAGCTACCAAGCTACTTCCTACCTCTACTAGTGGCCTACCCCCCGAGGCGAAAAAAGAAACAGTGAACGTGTTTTTGGCCAAAGATGGAGCTGCACAGGTTGAACTTCTTGTTCCTTCTTTTCCCGTTCAGGTCCACAAATCTGCTGAGGCGCCGCCCACAAGGCCACTGCACCAGGTTGGCTCGCTGGCGGCCGTGGCCCCAGATCTTGCAAGATCTTCCCGAGCTGCTGCGGCCGCTCAGCACGGACCAGGGCCTTGGGGGCCCCAAAAGCCGATACAGATTTGGAGGTTTCCAAACAACTTTGAGCACGAAGACAGCTGATTTGGAGCGCCAAAACCAAGTTGGCACGATGAACTCCAGGAACAAAAAACCTTGTCATTACCTTCTTTTGTCCCAACAGATTCAATCTTGCAAACGACGGCTCAGGGCCTCCGCTCACCCATTGTTTACCAACTTGAACCCAAAGGAGACGAAAAAGCTCCTAGTAGCTTCTTTTTCCTAGTAGCAAGGCCAGGAGCTTGTAGTAGCGAACCTTGTTCCTAGTAGCGATGCCCTTTGCTTCGTCCTTGCTCCGCTCCGATCTCCCACCCTCTCCTGCCAGTCATTGAGATCCTTCAGCATCGCTTCCAAGTCCTCGGCATCGCGTCCGGTGTCGTTCCCGTCCGCATCGCCCTCCACTGGCGGATAGCTCACGGCAGCGGCGAGGTAGCCGTCAGCATGCTGGGAGGCCTGCTGCGAGATCAGAAAAATTGTGCCCACGATTGGACATGGCGCTATGACTGGTGAATGCTCTACAGATTAGGTGAGAATTCCTTTATCCATTCAGAATGAACTCTGAACTGGCGATTTGACAGAAATGATGCCCAAGTATCATAAAAGGCATGTCAGGTGTGGCAAACAATTAGCTCAATAGCAAATCACCCTTCAGTGGTAATGGGCTTAGCCTGCTTCCTACCCTCTTGACCACACATCTGCGCTTGGAGGTATCTAGTGGCCGCTCGACCATACCTGACCGACCATTCCTCCTGCCACGTGAAAAGGCACCTCCAGGATCCGGAAGACACGGGTGCCCACCACACGGACATGAAAGTGGCCATTGGGAAGTTGCACACAGTCCTGGTACAGGACAGATCCCTCGAGATCTCTCCGCTTGCTCGACTTTAAAGGGGGCGCCAAGTATCATGAGCACATCAGTAGTCTAGCAAATTGAGATCTTTCACAAACCACTGCAAGAAGTTGCTGTGGCACTTCATAGTGTTTCTTCCGGTGCAATCGCGAATGGATCCCTTCTAACCCTTTTCGATGGATCCTGTGAAGACGCGAAGGGCTTTGCCCTGGTGTTTCGGATCCCTTGAAGCAAAGCCCTGTTTCGGAGCCACGCTTTGATCACCTTCAACTCTTAAGGACGGTCAGCGTGTAGGACCTCGGCGTGTCGGGACATCTCCTCAATGACGACCTCTGTCCCACATGGCAAGTGGCTCATGCTGCTGTCGAATCCTCAGGACGGGTGAGGAAAGGCTGAATGTCACGTTGCAACACAGGAAAATACAATGACAATATATTTTTTGCTGTCGGACCACGGATCTGCAGTAAAACACCCCAGGTTTTGTCACTGAACCAGAACCACCAAGCATTGCCCCCCACGATCCTGCCGAAAGCAAAAATCCCCAACCGCCACCCACGAGCAGCGTCAGCAGCTTCTGTATATTTCTTGAACCATCTGAATTTGGAGAACTTGAAAAAATTGTTTTGCTTTCTTTTTGATGTTGATGCTCTGGAAATTTGGACCCTGGTACGTTTTTCTTTTGGAATTGTACTTTTTCAGTCAACTTACTTCTCCGTGGATGCTACATGTTTCTCTTAAAAAAGAATGCCTGTGCATGCCTACTCGCATAGACCGTTGCTTTTCGACACATTTGCTTTGCCAAAAGCTAATTTGTGTTGTTAAAACTTTCCTGTACAGGTTTTCAAAACCACCTACTCTTCTCTAAAAGGTTTTCAAAACGATGATTTCCCTAAACAGTTTACCGGCCACAGTCTCTAGCCGCGCAGTTCTCCGGTCTTCTTCCGCCAAAGATCCCGGTCGCTCCCATCCATCCCAAACCCTCGACACTCCAGAAAGCTGGTTGCTCCGGGGCCGAGCCACCGACCATTCCAAAGCGGCGGCCGCTGGCGAGCGCCAGGCGCATCAAGGCGCAGTATCTTGCAAAGCAACGGAAATAGAGGTCTTCTTCAGGGCAAAAATATCAACCATGAAGGGTGATGATTAAAACATCAACAGCAACACACACCCAAAGGCAAATTTTAAGGAAGTCATTTCAGCACCACATGAAGTGGTGGTCCTAGCTGCCCCTTATGAAATCGTGATATCCAGGAAACTTGGAAATCACGTTGGCTTTTTTACAAACAAGCTGCGATTATTAGTACTTCCCTCCTGTCGGCATGCTTTGTCTTGAAAAGAATCGGAATAGTTTTCCCAATTAGCCGGTTGCTGCATTCAATTAGCCACATTTTCTCAACAGTCTCATCAGCCTTGGTCTCCTGCAACTGTTTCAGAGCAACCTTTGATGATTTTCCTCGCTTAACCCGACATGCTGGTTTCCCAACAGCGACTCTGGACTGCCCGCAGCGACTTGGGAGGGTGAAAACGCGTCGCCTGGGCTCGAAAACGTTCAGGTGCAATCGCTGCAGTGGCAGAAGAGGTTCCAAGACAAAGAGTCCTAACTCCTGGACACGACAAGCACGCTAAAAAGCACGCTTGAACGCGCGCACGCAGGACTTTGGCATGGGTCTCCGTTTGTTTGCTTTTTTGGGTGTAGTGTAGCACTGTAACACATAATGAGATGTGCCAATGAGCTTCAGTAACTCTTCAGCATGAGGTTGGTTAGTCCTACTGCCCTGTATCTCTGTCTTTTCACATGCCTATGTGGATTCAACATGCTAAGTGGGCTATTTTTGGCTGATTCAGGTTTTGTCTAATGGGGCACCACCGGAAATTGGAAGAAAGGGAGTCCAAACACCAAAAGCAAAGCCCCTGCTGCTTTGATGCAGTTTGGGAAGAGCGCGAGCGTTCAGAAAAAACGCGCACCACGACAAATGCTAGAGGGTCGGCGCCAAACACTTGAGGGTAATAGGATTGTCACAAGTGGCAAGTGTCTAGGTCAAGCCCCAGTTTAAGCATCAAACCTGGGCAATCCCAATGCTTTGCCTCTCCAACTGCTGAACACCCAAAAAACACACCTTGCCACACCGAAAACGATGATCCTTCAGCTGTCTCTTGCGTATCCGACATAAATCCCAGGGTCACACTCTAATCACCACCTGCGACATGTGGCTGGCTGTGTCTACTTTTGACCAATCTTCCCATTGTTGATGGAAAGCCCTTGCGGCAATCGCTCTTAGGTTGGAGGCCATCGCTCTTAGGTCGGAAGCGGTGAGGTTGGAGGCCATCGCTAGTAACTCGGCCGTTAAATCGGATGGACCAAAATGCAATCTGCACCCGAACGACCTCCCTCGGCGTGGCATCTGCTGGCCGACACCAGCTCCTCATCCGCGGTTGTGTTGGGCACCAGCTCCTCTCATGCGAACTGGCCGACTTAGGTTAGTAGGGAATGATCACGAAAGAAAACTGATCGCACTTGCTCTGGGCTTGGACATCAAAGACCCCCAAAAGTCGCCCACCATCTCGTAGCGTCCTTGTTGCTAGTAGCAATGCACCTGGTTACTAGTAGCTTCTTGTTACTAGTAACTAGTTATTAGTAGTAATGCCAGGAGCTACTAGTAGCTTCTATGCGCATGCTTTCCGTTTCATCTTCCTTGAAAGTGCGAAAGTGCTTCGCTATGCCCTGAAATCCCGTCCGGTGCAATGGCATCAGCTTTGCGTTTCTGGTATTCTTCCGGGAAGCGTTCCTGGAGGGCATGTGGCTGAACAATTGGCTAGTAGAGCACATCAACACGAGCATCCGACGCAGGAACGAACTCTCGGTGACATGATCCGAACTGCCATCTCGTTGCTCATCAACTAGGAACAGCTTGAAGAGAGATCTGTTCAAGTTGGCTTCAAACTGCTCTGAAGGCTGAAAGCAAAACGAGTTACCGACTGATCAGGAACGACCAAGACTTTGACTTCGTGACTTCTTGCGACTTTCCGCGTGCCGTTCCCAGCAAAGGCAGAAGAACTCGCCGCGAGAAGCTCTCGTCGCCTCTAGGAGAGAACTGAGAAGACTGCAAACCGCCAAGTCCTGGAAACGCACCGAAAGGACGTGGGAAAGAGCAGTGTGGCCGCAGTTTCGATGGAAAGTGGTCATGTTTCTCATTGGAAAGGATTGAACAGCTGATAGCAGCAAGTGCTTTGATGGTCCCAACAAAGGATGGGTTCACAGTGTCCATCGCTACAGGAAGAAAGATACTGGCAAAGCACCCAAAGACTCCAATATGTATCAACATGGCGGTGCACTGCCAGGATTTCTCCATTTGGCTTCAATGACTCCTATTCGTTTGAAAGCATTACCGGACTACTGCACGCGGCATCTCCAACGGACCATCAACGAATCCATGCGCAGCAGCCTCAGTCTTGGTTGCATGCAGCAGCCGGCGGCAGAGAGGGCAACGCCGCCCGCCAGAGCTCTGCAGGCACGCGGCCAAGCAGCCCTGGCAGAACCTGATCCGACCCATGTCGACCCTATTTGATGGAGAGGGTTGGGGGTTTGGTGGTGTGACCTGAAATTTTACCGGTGAGTTGTTTTGGGAAATCCCGACTTGGTGGGGGTGCCATTCCAACATTCAGAACATGAGGCGATTTGCAAGAAAGGGTTTGTTCAGCACCCTTTTTCCTGCGAAAAAGCTGGGCATTTGGGGTGTGTGTTCAGCTTCCTTCCCGGGAAGGGTTGCGAAAGGTTCGTTGGCAAAACGCCCGTTTTAAACGATGAAATTCATCTTTTTGATTGTCCAATGTTTCTTTCAAACAAAGTCAAACACAAGTGACTCAGCCGATGGCCAACACGGGACCCGGCTGGATGGCGCTCTGCAGTGACCAGTGGGTCTAACACCCGGGAGTGCTCTGTGCACTGGAACGAGGTCGTCTTCGCAACCGACAAACCACCAGGGACAAGAGGACAAAGTCACACACCAAACCAGTGGATGTTTACACAAAACTGCAGCAATGTCCAGTTTGGGTACGGATGTTGTGGATGTTGCCTCTGTCCTTCCAGTCTATTCTGTTAAATATCCCTTGTTGGCTGTGGGTGAGTGATACGACAACACGGGCTTCTATGAGGATCGAAAAGCAGTTACTTGGGGGAGACAGCAGAGTCAGTACATCTGGGGAATCCCAAAGACTCTCCTTTGGCAACCTGAAATCATCACTTGGCCAACGCAGATAGTAGCCAGAGAGTCTAAGGGAGTCGCCACGAACTGCTGGAACTCGACTGAGGCACCGCACCCCAAGACGGCGAAACATCCAACCCGATCGGCCCGATCTTCGTCCAAGTACACGTGGGCACAGGGCAAGACCACCGGGTGAACGATCAGCTCATGGCAAAGAGCACAATCGCAGTCCTGCGTAGCGAACGGTTGTCTCTCGAGGTGCAACCGTAAAAGGGTGGAACACGCGTCATGCCAACGCAACATGCGCCTGAACCACGCGGGTCGGTTCATGGCGGCCTGGAAGGAAAGAACCCCGAAAGCTATGACCTGGAAGGAAAGTTAAGTTTCCCTAAACATCTAGGAACCAAATCATTAGTGCGAGCGTGAGTCAGCTATCCTGCGCCCAGTTACCAGAAGCTAATCGCCCTGAGCTTGCTCCCTTACTTGATTTAAGTAGGCGCCTACTCAATTCTGTGGCGGCAAAAAAGGAAAAAAAAACCGAACGCGTTTCCCATTCACAACAGTGCCCTTTACGTCATCTCTCCAACAGTGCCAAGAGCGAAACTCACATCCGGACTTGAGAAAGCTCTTCCAACTGGCCAAATCGGATTCTACCGGAGTGAGGCCAAAACGGGCCAAAGTCAAGCAAAGAAACGCTACCTTCCACGGACCCAAAAAAAACCATCGAGTTGATTTGAGTGGGTTCCGTCGCAAGGACTCGCCACTGAATCCAAGGTTTCTTTCAGCCTGTGTCATTTTCCAGCATCTTTCCAATGTATGGATAAATCATGATAAATCAATAAACAAGTTGCCTGCAAGCGGGGTGTTGAAGTTATGAAGCAACAAAAAAACAAGAGATCACCATTTTTGCTGGTTTCCGTTCGCGCTGTCGTCTTGGAGCACTGCCGTTTCAGACCCTCTTCCCCCCAAGTCCTCGAGGCTCACCATTGCAAGGCTCGAGGTCGCAGAGGTCGCATGGTTCGCGGTCGCTAAGTGTCGCTGTGCATCTTTCGGACACGAAGTGCCTGCCACAGTAAGCACAAATGTCTGCAGTTGTGCCGTATTATGCACATGCGTGATCATGCGCATTCCGGATTTTGTTTCGGAGCTCGAGTACCAAGAGCTCCAAATAGGACAAGCCAATCAACCTCTTGCAGGTGATCAATTTAAGATACTGTGGACCTGTGGGAATCTCCAATGATTACGCTTTTATCAAGGCTTGAGCCAACTTTTCGTTGTATCAGCGGGGGTTTTGAGGAGTCTCCTCATTCCAAAACAAGCCATTCCCCAAAACCATCATCACGCTTTTGAGATTCTGCGTGGCCCAAGGCCATGGGCCGTGCAAAGGGTCAGTCCAACTGTGTTTGAAGAAATACGACAAGTCTCCAGAACCAACAATCGATGGAGCCGTTAAGAAGCTTCGCAACATGTGTGAGGTGCGCAGTAGATCACGTCGATCTGATCTGTTTCCATCCATTCTTGGACCCGTTCCGAAATAGACAATTGATGACAATTGAACCTCTTATTCCATCTATTTAAGAACACATAAGAAAACCATCTCATAAACGGCTCAAAAGTTGTTCACCTTTCCTCAGGGGGATCAACTAGATAATGGTTGCAGCGCTCCAACGCATCTCTTTTGTGATCCAAGCGAGGCTTCCGCAGCGTGAGCAGCTGTGGACCCGTGCCAAAAGGCTTGAATCGGATGTCAGGCCGTGTGCTCCGGTGGCGTTCGTTTTTGTCAAGCGTTGGATGGCTTTGCCGACCCTCTCAAAGTCTAGTTCCCAGGAAGAGCCACTTCTTCAATCTATAGAAGGTCACACAAAGAAAAAGCGATCCTCCTTACAAAACCACTTTGTGACATACCAAATACGTCCTTTCCCTATCTGTGAGAACCACGTTGGTGGACACATTTCATGCTGCCCCTTAGGAAAGCCAAACGGATTGTCGGGACTTGCCTTAGTTCTCTGGGAGGCTGTTGTACGATGTTCATAGAAAGGGTATTTGTTTTCTCCTTTTTTCTCCATCAACTGCAGGTCGTTTGCTGCTTACTTAGTCACGGTGGTTAATTCATGTTAATTCTTTGCTTTCAACTGCAACTTGGCCTTGCACTCTCATGTAATCTCGAACTGACAAATCAAGCTAGACCTCCAACAGGCGTTTTGGAGTGCCGGCATTGAAGGCTTCCTTTTCGACAGACATGTTCATCTCCGAACAAGCTGCCGGAGCACGTCTGTACTGGCCAACAACTGGCCAACAGTCTGTATGTCTTTGGCCCGACCGATCACGGGACGGGACGGGCGTGCGGGGGTGTGGGCGAAAGGCCTCAGAGCTCTCCGCTGACGACTGGCCTGGGCGTGGGGGGCGGTGAAATCTCCCGGCTGGCCAAATCTGGTTCCTGTTTTTTTTCAGCCCTCACTTAAGAAAAAACATCAATGATTCCCGACTTGACTAAGCACCAATTAAGCCTGACCATCGGTGTCCTTTCCGGACATGGCATCTGCAACATTCACCTCTTTTCGCCGGCTTCTTCCCGACTTCCGCCTCTCGGCTCTAGCGCGGTGGTGGAGCAGTGCGCCCAAGGGCCACTCCAAGTCCTCGCCCGAGGCCTCTGGAAAGCCACGGCAATGGTGAACGGCAAGCAACCGAAGAAGACTAAAGCAAGCCACGGCAGCTTCCAACCTACTAGCAATGGCCTCCAAGCTAAGAGCGATGCATGGTGAAAGGCAAGCAAGCCATTTTACGTTCTTTTACGTTCTATGAACTTCATGTCTAGCAGTCTTAGCCTTCTCTACATAATTTGGCCAGCCACCTCTCATTCACCAAAAAACATCAGGACGAGAAACGATGAGCGCACATGCTGACGACGTTTCCGGAACAACAACCAGGACGTTGTCCACTGGAGCCATTGTGCAAAAGCAGCCTAATAGGCATGACGACGGAAAAGATCCTTCACCGCATCAGGCACTTTTTGGACACCAAAATTGGAAATGGTAAAGGGAAAGGGATGGAAAGGGTATGAACAGTTCAACAGCTTCCCTGCAGAATCCCATTCCCAACTTGTCAGGACTAGTCTACGGCCATGCGACCTCTAAGGCAAAGGTGACCTTGCGGGCATCCTTCGAGAAGCCATAGATCTCCTCGGAGAACGAAGGCACAACACGACTAACTATGGTATCGAAAACAAACAACGCACCCACGTCTCGAATGCCAAAGGAATGCAAGTACATAGATTAGATGCGGCCGTTCGTTCTTGTGCATCATTCAAACATAACAAGACAAAATCCCCAAATCTGTGTGTAAGTGTTTTACAATGTTCTACATTGTGTGATAAGCTTCTTCAGCTTGGTGTGTCTCTTTTCCATCTGATCTTCCCAAATCTTCGCTCCTTCCCTTCAGAAGACTCTGACACAAATTCTCCGTCCAATGCTCTGGTTGCAGAAAGTCCCTTGACACTCGTTCCAACCAGTTGTGCTCTGGTCGGAATCGCCACCCGTTGTGCGTTCGTCCCACCAAACCCACCCGTTCATCCAACCGGATCGTCGCTTCAAAGACGTAGCGGTAGCGGGAACACAGAAAAACCAAACACTCTTTTATCGGACGAAGCGGCACGCAGCAGGATCAGCATGTAGTTTGCCTGGAAGCAGCGGTAGGGCGCGTTGTCCGCTGCAGTGTACCTCACATCGTGACTCATTCCATGAGGAGCGTCATAACTAGAAGCTACTAGGAAGCTACTAGGTGGAGGCCATCGCTACTAGTAACAAGAAGCTATTAGTAACAAAGGGCATTGCTACTAGGAGCAAGGACGCTATTAGGGGCGCTCCTGGCCTTACTACTAGTAACAAGAAGCTACTAGTAACAATAAATAAAGCTCTGTAATATATTGTTTCACGTTTTCCTGACTCGAAGTCCTCGATCACTTGGACGGATTGATTTCTGTCGAGGATCCTTCAAAATACTGGACCATCGAAAATTCCAGGGGACGATTGACCACCCCCACGTGGTTCATCCAAAGATGTGCAAAAAAAGTTGTTGCGTTGGAGAGGAGTCCCAACGAAGCAGTCTTCATCAATCCTCTCTGCAGGTCCCAGCTTGAGTGGTGTCTCCGAAGGAGTGCATACCCTTTCGAAACTCTGCGAGTCTGGCGTGGAACAAGAAAAAGATTCTTGCCCGTGGTTTGCTGTTGCATTCATTCCAAATGTATATACCTATCCATGCGCTTGTCACAATTGTTTACGTACATCTAAGCTACACATCGGACTTTCAACTCTTGTGTAGTTGCAAAGGACCAAAGAACCTGAAGGTACTTCTTTCTTCCCCCATTCTCCACTAGTCCATGTAAAAACTATCTTGGGGATCTTGACAAAGGTGGATGGTCGATGAGACCCTCCATCCAACCACGGTCTATCAGGTTGTGCAATGTCCAGCTGGAGCTTCGGCCGGTGAGTCTTCGCACCGGAGCGGTGAGTCTTCGCGTCGAGCGTCTGATGTGCCGTGCTCTTCTCCTTGGTCTGCTCCTCCACCCAGCCGTACTCGCCTTCAGTCTGCTTTTCCCGATGAAAAGCTTTACATGAAGAGTCAACCAGAGGTAGGACGATGGTTTTCTTACATCGAGGACCTGACGCATCACTGGAAAATTCATGCTGGGATGATTTGCACGCTATTGATCCGCCACAGCTATAGGTGAGCATGGGCAAGATATCTTTCTGTCCAGTATTCTTGCTGTTTGGTTCAGTGTAGTTTATTTTTCAGTGCGCACGCATCTAAGTGATATTTCATTGAAGCTGTAGTGTTCTGTGGGGTACCTGGTTGAAATTGGTTGAAACCTCACCAACTATCACATGCCCAAAGCAATCATTCAATTGTGGCATAGGCCTACTCTCTCTCTCTCTCTCCCCTCTCTCTCTCTCTCTGGTTTGCGTCAGGCTGAACACCCACCAGCTCATCACCTCATCATATCAGTACCTATGCATCTGTATCTGGATGCCCCATAAGCAGAGAACCAAGAAGACATGATGTTGAGATTGCTTCCATGACTCTGAAAAGGGCGCAAGGCCTTGGCAGGTTGACAATAGGCGAAGGCCGCCAAGGCACCCTCGCACATCAGGTCAATCACGGCTTCCAGCTCTGTCAAAGTGGGGCGCGGGTACGCCTCTACAGCTTGCTGGACTGAAATTGAAACTGCCTCCAACATGGCGGTTGTATTGATTGGGTTTATTTGGAACATTGTGCCAAGATTCTTGACAAAGGTATCTCACTTCTGGTTGGTTCTCCTGCTTGGTTTGGGCTAGCCATCAGGTAGCTTGTTGCAACTGGCCAGCAGGGACACCACCTTTCAGCACAAGAAGACCAACGACCAACTCCAAAGCTTGTCCCAAGTGAAATTAGGTTAGAACATGTATCATAAGATCATCTTCAACAACAGTCAAAACGAATGGTCTGATGGCCACCGCTTTTCCCCCCAAAAATTGAAAACCCTTCGCCTGCAGGAATGCCTTCGTCACCTCATGTGAAGGCTGCTGGTGAGAGGCCCACCATCGAGCGAAGTCTGCCTCGGTGGGACGGGGTGGACTCACCTCGTACCTGAAAGGAACATAATCCATCTCTGAGCGGAGACAAAATCAGTTGAGAGGGAACCATGAAGGAGGCTACTCTCTCAAACATTTGAGATCCATTACTCCATTACTTCATTGCTTGTCCAACAAGTCCAACAAAGACACCTGGCTTCCGCAGCTCAATAAGAATGATCAACTATGATCAACAACATGAACAAACAACCGCATCCTTTGAACTAGAAAAAATAGAGAAAGAAAGAACTAAAAAAACAAGAAAGAAAGAAATAAATAAAGAAAGAAATACAGAAAAAAAGAAAGAACAAAAAGAAAGAAATAACGAAAGAAAGAAAGAAAGAACGAAATAAATAACGAAAGAAATACAGAAGAACAAAAGAAACACACAACTAGTAAAAAGAAACACAAGAAACAAAACGGCCAAAAGAAAGCCAAAGAGCTAAGAACATCCACCTTGG